GCCAATTATTTTTATGGCATATCTTTTGATTGTCAATGCATTGGAATGTGTTTTCGATATTTGTCTTTTCGTGCGAGTTTATATATCGTTTTGTTGCTAGACGTATTAATTCACCTGGTCAAACGACAAGAAGATTTAAGAATAAAGCGGCTATGCCTAAAGTTTTACGACGTCTCTGGCGAGAAGGGAAAATCGTGTCATCTGAAGTCTGACTGTGGAGTTCACGAACTGTGCTGCGAAACGCGCAAAGGAATGAAATGCTCGACCAAGAAGAAGGAGAAAAGTAAGTTATTGAGGGACAGAATTTTTTGTGACAGTGACGACCGAGTAAAATTTAGAGAAATGCAATGACGGAGAGCTTCCCGGCAAAATTTGTTCGATGCACTACGAATGCGACTTTCAGTGGAAGTGCGAGGACGGTCGTTGCTGCCCTGCATTTGGAAGGCTGTCGCCACTGAACCTCATTGCAAACACTACTTCACAACCAAAGGAGGAGAAGAAGGAAGAGGAAAAGGAAGAAAACTTCAGGCCGCGCAAAGAAGAAGAAGAAGAGTCAAGACGTGGAGAATTGAATTCGCACTCTGAGGAACACGTCAACAACAGACTAATCGATTCCAGAAACAATCGAAGAGCTCCTTCAGTTAAGGTAGGACACGCAACGAAAGAATCTGATATACAAAAGAATGCTCAAGCCCTAAATCACTTGACGGAACCTCCAGAAAAAGAAGAAGAAAAAAAAGAGAAATCTGAGAAAGAACATCGTCCAAATTCTAATGAAGCGCATCCTGGGGGCAAAGAAGAAAAAGGCGAAAAAACGCATTTTACCGAGTTGAGAACAGAAGAAACTGGTGAACATCATCCAGCAGAACTCATAGCAGAAGAAGCTGAAAAAGAAGAGGCTGAATCAAAAGTAGCGCCAAACGGGGAAGCGGACAGACGACACAATCACGAAATGTTTGAGCATCTAGAAGAACATGAAAATTCTGAAAAGCGGCATCGAATTTCTGAGATGTCTGAGCACAGGTAATTGAAAATAAATAATTTAACTTTCATTCTTAATCCAACAATTTACAAATCTTTTGAAGTATCACTGGTTGAATCCACAAAATACCATACAAACCACAGTTGCATCAGAGGTTAAGCCTGTTGCTTGCCAAGTTTGTTTTCTCACACAGTACCCTTTGCTGCACTACAAATCTTTAACTGTGACCTTAGTGTATGTAGTCAAATTTATTATCTGTACAAGATAATTGGTGTCTGCATGTCAACAGTTCAAGTCATATAGATAAGAATAATGCACACGAACGAAACTTATAACATATCAGTGACCTGGCAAAGAACAACTGTACAAGCAAGAACGAAGGATCAATACAAATTAGCCTCAAATCCGTCGTTAAAACAGGAGTAACAACTTTAGCAGTGTTTGCATGAACCCTCTCAGACATTTCTGCCTTGGAAATATAACGCACAACTCCTTCAAAACCAAACTTCATGGCTTATTGCACCGCCTCATTGCAACTAGTTACCAGGGCGTACATCTTAGCAGGTCATTTTTCAGTGATATTTAAACATCAGCAGTGCCAAAAATATCTCGTATCACTTTGTTCGCTTCGGCTAACTCACACTCTTCGCAATGTTTCAGGACCTGGTGCTCCATATGTGTTACCACATGAATATCACAACTGCATAAACGGAGGAAATATATGGACAGTTCCATGTATCAAAAATATGGTCTCCCTAACGATTAATGAACGCAAGTAAACACGCTTGTAAGGTCCCACGTTCACAGTGCAGAACCGAATACAAAGCCACCGCTACCAA